CGTGGGTGGCTTTGTTGGCATCATCCCAGCTTGACAAAGTTGATATAAAAAAGAATGGAGCTGGGTGAAAATTTGTCAGCTGAAGGCTCCATGCACACTGTGCGTTCTGATAACGATAGCTGTGTAAAGACACGTTAAAAACTTGAGTTTTTCAACTTTTTTTAGCATTTTTACATTAGCGTTTTGTCGCATTTAGCGGCATTTTCCTGCATTTGCGGTTTTTACCGTATTTTTTCACCCCCCCCCCAAAAAAAAATTTTTGTCAAAAAAATCCAAAAACACCGGTTTGCTGCATTTTACCACATTTTACCACGTTTTGCTGCGTTTTTCAGCATGTTTTTACAGCTAAAAAACTCCTCTAGAAACCCACTAGTCCTGGAGGTTTTTTTCCAGCCAAAAAACGTCCCTGCCAAAAAACGTTGATTACAGTCCAGGGGCGGACTGACAACTCATGGGGCCCCTGGGCAATAGGGGATCATGGGGCTCCTGTGTCATTGCCCACACTCAAAGCCTATAAAAAGGTACCAGGGGCATTTAGTGGGGCCCCCTACTGATGCCATGCCCTCGGGCAGTGCCTGAGTCCTCGAATGGTCAGTCCGCCCGTTACAGTCTATGTGTGCATGGACACATAGGATAACATGCTGGGGAATTTACCAGCTGTTGAAAAAAACATAAAAAGCCAAAAACAGCCGCTGTAAAAATGTCCAGTGTGCATGAGGACGAACAGTGACTGCATCTCCTAGATTGTAAGCTCCAAGGAGCAGGGCCCTCCTAACCCTCTTGTATTGAACTGTATTGTTGCTGTATTGTCTCCCGTTATATTGTAAAGTGCTGAGCAAACTGTTGGCGCTATATTAAATCCTGTATAATCATAATAATAATAATTCAGTCAGATATAGTTACTGTTCAGATATTCAGATGGCCTTGGATGGTGCTGCTGGCAGGAGGGATTCCTCCATCCATGCTGTTTAGTATAGGTGGAGGAATCTATTTGATTTCTCTAGAACTGAATGAGAGAAATCTATGTGTGTATTGAATCAAGGCCTATTTGGATGTCTCTAGTAGGAGAGAGAAGGAGAGAGCAAATACAAAAGAAAGAAAAAGACAGAGAAAAGACAAGAAAGCAAGAAATAAAGAGAGAAAATAAGGGAGAGAAAGAGTGGGCAAAAAGGAGAGAGAGAGCACAGAGGAGAGAAAGAGAAAAAACAGAGAGAAAACAGGAGGGAGAGGTAAAAGGGGAAAAAAAAAAGGGAAAAGGAGGTAGAAGAGAGGGGAGAAAATGAAAGAGAGAATAAAAAGACAGAAGACAATAGAAAGAGCTAAAACTGGCAGGAGAGAAGAGGGAGAAGACAAAAGGAGAAACGAGAGTGAAAGAAGACATAAAATAGAGAGAAGATAGAAAAAAGAAAGGAGGAGGAGCAGACAGGAAAGGAAGAAAAAAGGAAAAAAGAGAGTGAGGACAGTAACACTGGCCATATATAAATCTTTTTTTTTTTCAACCAGCGGGTTGAAGGAAAGAAAATGACTCGATTCTCCCATCCAAACATTCAATGTTAATTGGGGAATCCCTCCTGCTGAGCTATTGTATTCTGACAGTGGTGAGACTTCCCCGCCTTAAGGATACACTGATTAGCAGTGCTAGCTATAGCCAGTGCTGCTGATGGAGAGAAAAAAAAGCAAGCTGGTTGTTCATAAGTCGAAAGACTTGTGTACAACCAGCCTTATCATACATGGATCACATTCAGCCAGTGAATGCTAGCTTTTGAGAAGAGAGAGAGGGGCAAGAAGAACAGAGGGGAGAAGGAGAGAGAGAAGATTGGAGACAGAAAAGAGAGAAAAGACAGGAGAGGGGAGAAGGGAAGAGAGAAAAGACAGAAATGGTGAGAAAAAAGAAGATTGAGATAAAGGGAAAAGAGAGAAGACAGGGAGTAAAGGGGAAGAGAGAAAAAAAAAAGAAAAAAGAAAGGGGAAGAGAGAGAGAGAGAGAGGAATAAAAAAAAAGAGAGAAAAGACAGAGGGGTAAAAGAAAAAAAAGAGAGAGAAAAGGAAGACAGGGAGAAAAAAAAGAGAGAAACGGGAGAGAGAGAAAAGAGGGGTAAAAAAGAGAAAAAGGGAGAGAAGACAGAGAGTAAAAAGGAAAAGAAAAAGAGAGAAAGGGTGAGAGAAAAAAGAAGAAAAAGTAAAGGGAAAATAGAAGAAAAGAGAAGAAAGAAAGAAAAGGGTAAAAAAAAAAAAAAGAAAGAAAAAAAAAAAAAAAGAAAAGAGGAGAAAAAAAAAGAGAAAAAAAAGAAGAAAGGGAGAGAGAGAGAAAAAAGAAAAAAGGTAAAAAAAAAAGAAAAAGAAAAAAAAAAAAAGAAAAAAAGAAAGGAAGAGAAAAAAAAAAGAGAAAAAAAGAAAAAGCAAAGGAAAGAGAGAGAGGGGGAAAAAAAGAAAGAGAAAAAAAAGAAAAAAAAGAGAGAAAAAAGAGAGAGAAGGGAAGAAAAGGGAGAGAAAGAAGAGAGAAGAAAAAAAAGGGAAAAGAAAAAAAAAGAGAGAAGAGAGAGAGAAGAGAGAGAGAGAGAAGAAGGGAGTAAAGGAGGAGAGAAAAGCGAAAAAGAAAAAAAAAAAAAAGAAAAAAAAAAAAAAAAGAAAAAGTAAAAAGAGAAAAAGAAAAAAAAAAAAAAGGGAAAAGAAAAAAGAGAGAGAAAAAAAAAAGAAAGAAAAGGAGAAAAAGAAAGGAAAGACAAAAAGTTAAAAAAGGGGAGAGAGAGAGAAAAAAAAAATAGAGGAAAGGGAAGAGAGAAAGGAGAGAGAGAGAAAAAAAAAAGAAAAAGAAAAGAGAGAGAGAAGAAGAAAAGGTAAAGAGGAGAGAAAAAGAGAGAATGTGAGAAGAGAGAGAGAAAAAAGAAGGGGCGAGGAAAAAAAAGAAAAGAGGGAAAAGAGAGAAAGGGAAAAAGAAAGAGAGAGAAGACAGAGGGGTAAAGAGAAAAAAGAAAAAAAAAAAAAAAAAAAAGAGAAGAGGAAAAAAAAAAAAAAAAAAAGAAAGGGAGGAGAGGGAGAAAGAAGACAGGAGGGGAAGGGGAGAGAGAGAGGGTGGGTGGTAAAGAGAAGAGAAAAAAAGAGAAAGGAAAGAGGGAGAAAAGAGAGAAAAAGTGTGGGGGGAGAAGAGAGAGGAAGAGACAGAAGGGGGGAAAAAAAAGGGAAGATTTAAAAAAAAAAAAGAGGGAGGTAGAAAAGAAGAAAGGAGGAGGAGAGAGAGAATATGGGAAAGGAAGGGAAGAGAAAAAAAAGAGAAAGGAGAGGGAGTAAGAAAGAGAAAAGACAGGGGGGGAAAGTGAGAGAGGGAAAGACAGAAGAGGGGGGGGGGGGGGAAAAAAAGAGAGAACAAATAGAAAAGGAGAAAGTAGTGAAGTAAAAGATGACGGGAGAAGAGAGAGATAAAGAAGACTGACAAGAAAGAGGGATGGGGGTATACAGAAAATGGGGAGAAGAGGAGAGGGGTGAGAGAAGACAGAAGAGAGAGGGAAAGGACAGGAGAGACGTGCGTGTAAGGAGTATATATGTGGAATCATTCTATGTAGAGGGATGTGCACATATATCAGCCAATATATACATATGTAGAGGGATGTGCACATATATCAGCCAATATATATATATATATGTAGAGGGATGTGCACATATATCAGTCAATACATATGTAGAGGGATGTGCACATATATCAGCCAATACATATGTAGAGGGATGTGCACATATATGAGCCAATATATACATATGTAGAGGGATGTGCACATATATGAGCCAATATATACATATGTAGAGGGATGTGCACATATATGAGCCAATAATTATGTAGAGGGATGTGCACATATATCAGCCAATACTATATAGAGGGATGTGCACATATATCAGCCAATACATATGTAGAGGGATGTGCACATATATCAGGCAATATACACATATGTAGAGGGATGTGCACATATATCAGGCAATATACACATATGTAGAGGGATGTGCACATATATCAGGCAATATACACATATGTAGAGGGATGTGCACATATATCAGGCAATATACACATATGTAGAGGGATGTGCACATATATCAGGCAATATACACATATGTAGAGGGATGTGCACATATATCAGGCAATATACACATATGTGTCGGGATGTGCACATATATCAGGCAATATATACATATGTGTCGGGATGTGCACATATATCAGGCAATATATACATATGTGTCGGGATGTGCACATATATGAGCCAATGGTCAGGGTAGGTCCCCGATGTCACACGTTGTTCAGTGTCATAGTATGAAGATGGACGGTAAGTGTCCCCCCCATGGTGATTTCTTGTAGCCATGCAGCTGACAGTACATAATGTCCCAGGCAGCACCGAGCACGTCTTGTAGCCGGCGGTGACTACGTCCAGCACCATTCCGATCGCCGTGCCACTCCTCGCCCATCACACGGCCCCCTCTCCTCCCACATCACAGCCTCCTTACCTTTTCTATTTCTTTTTTTTTTTTTTTTTTTGCTGGCCCAAAAGTTTAAACGCCGCATTTGTGGAATGACAGGAGGTATAGGGAGCCGTGGGTGAGAAGTCAGTATGTGATCGCGGTGTGCCCCGCTCCCTCCCCTTCCCCTCCCCCTTCCACTCCTCCCTCTCTCCTCTCGCCCTCCCCGCCCGCTCCCATGCCTTATATACGGCAGCAGAGAGGCAGATCGCAGGCTGCGGAGCAGGGAGCCGGGACTGATCGCTGGGTGTCATCTCTGCCGTCATCTCCATCCTGCCTCGGATTAACCCCTCGCATGCCCCAGCTCGGTTGAGGCAAGAGATCCTCGGGTGTCCTGTGCAGAGCGTGCCATGAAAGCGGTGAGCCCCGTCCGCCCCCACAGTAGGAAAGCCCCGGTGCCGGGCGTGTGCGGGGAGCTGGCCCTGCATTGCCTGTCTGAGCACAGCCTGAGCGTGGCTCGCTACAAGATGGAAGAAGAGGAGTCCCTGTGTCTGCAGTACGACATGAATGACTGTTACAGCCGGCTCAAGAGGCTGGTGCCCACCATTCCGCAGAACAAGAAAGTCAGCAAAGTGGAGATCCTGCAGCATGTCATTGACTACATCCTGGACCTGCAGCTGGCCCTGGACACACACCCTGTGCTGCTCAGGCAACAACCCCCCGCCAGGAGCCCGCTAACGGACCTCAATACCGACCCGGTAAGAGATGGCCACCCACCCACAGCGCCGCTTTGTACGAGGCCAGGCTGGCTGAGCTCATGTCACGTGCTGCGCTACTGCTGCGGGGCCGCTACACCGCGCACTGGACGGCTCAATGACAGCTCTGGCATGTGAGAAAGGGCAGATCCACCTGACAAGGCTCCGCTGTTCTCCATCACTTCACTGCTCACGGCTAGGCTCATTCCTGGAAGTTCCTCCTGACACACAACACACGACTTGTGGCCATGATGAGTGCAGAGCAGCTGCCTCTTCTGTCTCTTCTTTATCTAGATCAAGAGATTGCTTTTCTCTGGAAAATGTCTTGCGATCGCCAAATATAGCGATTTGTTGCCCGAGATGCCTCTTTTCTGTCATCCTGAGCCCCAGCTGTGGCTGGCCACACATTATACAATTTTCTCTTTGCTTTAGATTTACCAAAAACCATATAATAGGAGGTCAAACCTAAACAACACTTTCAATTGTATCCAATTAGGCAGGTCCTTGCGCTTTATAATTGAAGGTAAATCTAAAAGAGATTGGACAGAAAATTGTATAGTGTATGGCCAGCCTTAGAAGTCCCCAATTGCCTGGATCATGTCACAATGTAATGAGAAGCAGAAAGGCACGAGGTGATTGGTTGGGCTCAGATCCTAAGGCTTTGACATAGATAGGTCTTCATTTTCTCAGTTCGCAGGTGAAAATAACTCACTTTTTAAAATATTTTAATATAAGGTTCCTTATCCTGATGATAGTTTTGTGAAGTGAGCCTTTTGTGTGATGCTGTGGGTGCTGGACCTGTTACAGCCTAGGCAGGCAGTGACCAGGATCTGATTCACCTCTTACTGTGCATTTTAAATATCATTAGGTTTAGCTTAAAATAAACTCACTTTTTTATATAAAATCCCTATCCTGGTGTTAGCTTTGTGAATTGAGCCTTATGTGGGATTCTCTGATCCCTGGACCTGTCAAAGCCTAGGCAGCCAGTGCCCATGCTATGACCCATCTCTTACTGTGCATTTTAAATGTTATTAGGTTTAGCTGAAAATAACTCACTTTTTTAATATAAGGATCCCTATCCTGGTGTTAGCTTTGTGAATTGAGCCTTATGCGGGATTCTCTGATCCCTGGACCTGTCAAAGCCTAGGCAGCCAGTGCCCATGCTATGATCCATCTCTGAATGTGTATTTTAAATATCATTAGGTTTAGCTGAAAAGAATTAACTTTTTAAATATAAGGATCTGTATACTGGTGTTAGCTTTCTGAACTGAGCCTTTTGTGTCATGCTATGATCATTGGACCTGTCACATTCTAGGCAGCCAGTGCCCATTGCTACAATCCATCACCAACTGTAGTTTTCAAATGTCATTAGGTTTAGCTGAAAATAAATCACTTTTGTTTAATAAAAGGATCATAACCTGATGTTAGCTTTGTGAAATGTGATTTTTGCATGATTCTATGTTCCCTGGACCTGTCACAGACACATAGGCAGCCAGTGTCTATGCTATGATCCATCCCTGACTGTACTTTTCAAATGTCATTAGGTTTAGCTGAAAATAACTCACTTTTTTATCATAATGATCCTCATCTTGGCGTTAGCTTTGAGAATTGAACCTTTTGTGTGATGCTCTGATTGCTGGAGTGTGACCTGTCTCAGCCCAGGCAGCCAGTTCCCATGTTATGATCCATCACTGACTGTACTTTTCATATGTCATTGGATTCAGATGAAAATAACTGTCACTTTTTTAATACAAGGATCCTTATCCTGGTTTTATCTTTGTGATTTGAGCCTTTTGTGAGATGCTGTGATCGCTGGAGTGTGACCTGTCACAGTCTAGGCAGCCAATGTCCATGCTATGATCCATCACTGACTGTCTTGCTCTACGTCAACCCCCATCTATAACATTGGTTTTTTTTTTCCTTTAAATTGCAGGCTGCACCAGTTGTGAACAAACACGGGGACAGTATACTGTGTCGCTAGGATGTCTTTTAAGGTGAGTCTTGAACTTTTGCTTCCTCTCCAGTGATTGTTATGGATCCTTGCTAGCAGTCTATCCAAGATAGCCATCTCCTGTCATTGATTGACTGAAAGTCAGAATAGCAGCCCAGACAATGGTTAATGTTTAATCTGGCAGATTTTGGTTGAATGTAAAGGCAGTTCCTTGATTTCTAATTCTCCCCATTCCTTTGTAGATTGTATTAAAGGAGATGTTTTTTTTCCCTGGGTTGGTGGTAGGGCTGCATTTGCTATAATGGCACTCATGGACCAGTGCCTAGGGCAGTAGGGTTAGATGGGCAACACTTAGTATTAAACTATTTTTTTGGTCACCTCTGAGCCTCACTATTTACAAATATTATTATTTTTCCCATATTTACAAATTTATCATAACGTTTGTGTTCTTTGGCCATTTTATGAGCCTCAATATTTACAAATGTTATTATTGTCTTCATATTTACAAATTTTGATCACATTTAACTCTTTGCAGTTTTTTGGCCATCTCTGAGCCTCAGTAGTTACACCTTTTATTATTTTCTCAAATTTTGATCACATTTAACATAGTGGGTTTTTTTTTTTGGCCTTAGTAGTTACAAAATGTTATGATTTTTTTTAAGCATATGCTAAATTCAGCAGGTAAACTTTGATAGGTAGATGTAAGTACAGGATATTGAAAGGAGACATAGGTCTTTTTATAGTTAAAAAAATATATACAGTGATCTCTCCTTTCCAATTTTGTTGGTCACTGCTGTTACAAAGTAGTCCTTCATATAACATAGACTACAGCCTGCCTTCAGTAGCACATTGTAGCATACTGAAAAAAAAATCACAGGAAACAAGAGGCTTCATCTTTCAGGTGTGCCTAGAACAGCGTGATGTTTAAAGCCAGCCCTGGGTGGGGGTCAGACTAGATAGGACACAGCCCGATGGCAGAGACACAGCATGGACTGAGCAGTCCGTTGCAGCTGCGTTCCTATGCTTGGGCTGGCTTGGGAGCTGTGCTTGTAGTTTGACCTGGTTTGTTTTGGGTTGTTGATCAAGCATGTCTTGTGTTTTGTTGGTGGCGCCAGTCAGTCTGGAGCAGAATGGTTCACACACCCCCTCTATTCATTCCTCTTCCACAGGTGTGCAGCAGGCAAATCCAGAGCCAGGAGAAGCACAGAGAGAAAGAGAGAGACAAATTAGAAAATAAGGGAGGGGAAAGGAAAAAAAAAAAAAAAAGTCACCAGACAAAAGAGGGAAAAGCAATCTACACATCGCTTCTACACACGGAGAATATAGCTGTCCGCCATTTGTGCACGCTCATGCCACTTAACACTGTCCTTCTCATCATCTTGTAACAACAGACGTGAATTTTCCTTGCACTGTGGAAGTCCCTGAACTGATGGAATATGGGGGTGAAGGGGTGGGGGGGGTGGGGGTGCAGCTTATAGAAAGCATACACTATCCAATGGACAACTGAAATCTCAAGCTTTACTAATCTACCAGAGTATTGTAGATATTTTGTCTTTTTTTTACATCTATTGTTTAAAATAGATGATTTTATCGGGCAAGGGAATTTTCTTCTCCCTGCAGGAATGTTACATATTGTATAGAGAATTAAAAAAAAAAAGAGTGACATTTCATACTGTGTATATATATAGAGATGTTCTATAAGTGTAAGTGATAAAAGTATATGCTTTAATAGACTACTGTAATTATGAAGTATTTTTAATTAAATATTTTCTGTAAATAGCAATGTGTGCTTTTTGTTTCATCCCTGGGGAAAGTGATTGCTGTCTGTATATGGAAGAGAAATAATAAAGAATAATAATAATTCTAAATGACAGATTAACAAAGATGTTAAAATGGTAAACTACACTAACTTGGATCTGCTATTTGGTTGCCTGCATGTTGGCATGGAATGTATAAGCTAGAGTAAAAAATGGCCTTATGCTGTAATTTTTAAAAGACAGTATATAGTCTTGCTTCATTTTTACAGTATTGAAGCTGAATATATACTTTGCTTGTTTTCAAATGATGATTGTTTTATGTGGCTCAGATACTGGCTTCACAAACAGTATTTAGTGGGTGTAGCATTACACTAAGCTATATTTGAGTTACATTAACCAATGTACACCCGTAGAATATTTTTTTTTTTCCCCACAAAGTTTGTGTTTCAAGGGGATTTTACATATGCCAGTGACTGTAAGTTAAGTGAATTTTTTGAAGAAAACGGTTTTAAAAAATGAAATAAATGTCATTTTATATGCTTTATACAGATCATGTCCATACCTTTCTGCAAACACCTGTTCCAACACCTTCCTCAACAATGTACTGTATTGCACTGTGACACAAGGCATGTTTGAGGTACTTTGTAATAAAATGTAGTATAGCATCAATTAGAGCACTGATACCCTACAAATAATATCCAAAGGCCTCTGCAATGAAGCAAAATGTTCTATTGATGTGATCCTCAAAAAAAAAAAAGAAAAAAAAAGGGTTGCAGCAGGTCCCCAAGTTTTACATTTTGACATTTTGATCTGTCTACAGTTCAGTGTAAAGAGATGTGACATTCCCCTTTTGTATACATAATTAGTAATGGGAAAAAAAGCCCAGTAATATGCAGCCCTGTTCTTCATCGTCCCATTAGTCTCTGCTTCCTTTCTCAGTCTTTGGTTTGCATGTATTCAATTAGCTTATGAATATGGCCAATTATGGTCATTTACTACCACTCGTTCAGTTCTATTTCCACAGAAGCAGTGTCTGGTTTTAATTCAAGCCAGAAAGTATAATCATTGAAAAGGAGATTTCCCATAAATTCTGGTGCTATCACGTAATATTTTATCTTGGGTTTCTTTTTTTTTTTTTTTTTTCAAATGAATAAAAAAAGCATTTTAGCCTTTCGTACGTGTCGGTCATCTCAGTGGATTCTGTGCTAAGTAAGCAGATACTTTATTGCTTGCAACCAAAGGAACTCTTACTGTTACCTACAACTGTATCTGTCTGAGTTACCACTTCTGGTTTTTGTGGGTAAAGAAAGAACAGTAAACAAAATTGTTAATAACAATATATTGTCTAATTTTATCACAGTTGCTACTGTAATTTCTCCTATGTCTTTTTTTACAGACGAGTATTAAAAGGACATTTTTAATGGTCTCAAAACTGTCATCTTGTGTATTTATTTTGCTGACATTGAAAACACCATTCTTTAATGCTTTACTTTTTGGAGGGCATTGTGAAGTGGATGCAAATATTTTCACATTGCTAGAAGTTATATTCTTTCTACGTTGCTCTTTTAATGAAGCAATCCAATTTAGGTTTTTCATGCATAACATCTGATTCTTAAAAGGTCTACAAGTCAAACTAAAAGAGTGCCCCAAAATGAATATAAGAAGATATATATATTAGTATGACACATAAAACCTTATATGCAGTGTAGCACAGGGTTCAGGTGAAGGAGAGAAAAGCAGCTGTGTCAGTAAACAGTTTATAATTGCTACATTTGAAACCTCACTACTGTGCTATTAATTATGGGTATCCGTTCACTTTTTTGTTACATTAACCCATTTACTACTGAACAATTAATTCGCTTTAATTAGCGATGGATCCATATTGTAGGAAAAATTCACAATTTTTCACAATGACTTGTGGAAATAATATTCAAAGGTGACCTACTGAATGGTAAAATATAAACAAGCAGCAGATACTATAAGAATAATACATTTTTAAAAGCAATTTCCAGCAGATGTAGTTGGAAAATCAAAGTAATCAAACATGGGCAAGCTTGAGATATTGCTAGATGCGTCCTATGAAAAAAAATATGGACTAGACAGACAACCATTTTGGTCTATCAGTATTCCAAAGGTCTATTAATAATTTATGTATCTATTTCATGTAGAGAAGCAAATGGTATTGTTAATGTGTGATATTTTTCCTAGTCCACTTTCCTATCATGGTAAAACAGTACCTTTAAAGCAAGCCGCATGTTTGATTCCTAACTGATAATATATGCTAGTGGACTGTGAAACGCTGCCTTACCGACGATGCTATGACGATTAAATAGGTGTGAGTGTCAATTACAGAAGATTTTTTTTCCATTCTGTCTGTGCACCTGTAACATGCCAGAGAATGATAACATTTTTGTCCAGCATATCCATTAAAATGGATTATGGCCTATTTAAAGAGGTGTTATTTAGACTAGATAAAAACTTTTCATAGTTTCTAATGACAATGTTGCTTACAGCATTGCATGCATCTTATTACCGTTTTTTTTTTTTCAAGCAGGAATTGCTGGTAATAAGCAAATTAGTTGATGTCACACACCAAAGACCTAAAATTGAGGCGTCCCTTTTAGTTTGCTTTACACATATTGGGGTTGATTTGCTAAAACTGGAGAGTGCAACATTTGGTACAGCTCTGCATAGAAAACAAATCAGCTTCCAGGTTTTTTTTTTTTTGGCAAAGCTTAATTGAACACGCTGAAGTTGGAAGCTGGCTACCATGCACAGCTGCACCAAATTCTGAGTACTCCAGTTTTAGTAAATCAACCCCATTGGGAGTCAGTGGATGGCATGTTGTGTCCAAGCTTACCTCTACCATTGCATCATCATGACTGATACATGGGACACAAGAAGGAGATCTACTAATGGATCATGGAGGCAGAACCTTCTTTTTGTTCTTGTATCAGATACGGTCAGGTGTGGCAAGCTGAGAAAAGAACAGTGGCCAAACAGTGGGGTCAATTTTTGTTTCTTACAAATGTGTAGGACTGTAAAGGAGGCAATGAACGTAAGACAGAAAATACAACCATACAATTATTCTGTAGAATAAACACACATCATATCTTTATTTTTACGCCTTATGCAGATAGCCTCAAGATGGCCTTATCTCTTAAGAAACATAGGAATGATCTGTGAAAATCAATCCTGGACAATGCACTCTTACCCCAGGATCAGTGGGCCTAATGATGTCTGCATAGCTTTGAAGCAGCCCACAGATATATG